CTGTTCGGCCATGGTGTGAACCCACCTCCCAAATCTCTGCCCTCCCGTGGGTGCCGGGGGTACAGAGCGGGGTCGAGACACTGCCCAGGGTTCGGTGGAGGCCGAAGGAGGCTGGGGCTGGTGCATGTTCCTCCTCTTGCCAGGGGAGCCGAGACAGAGCTCTGCCTGACCCTGGAGCGTCCTTGGGGGGTCTGAGCAGCAACTGCACTGCCTTCCCTTACTGAAGCCATTCACAGGAGAGGCTTGACCTTTTTCGAGATTTTTGAGCTATTATTGTTGCAGAAAAGCTGTAGTTTAGACTAGGGAGGCAAGATAGGGAAGGAGCCGGAGCCACAGGGCGAGTTGCGCAGAGGCTCCCGGTGCAGCGGGGCTCGGGGAAGCCCGACGGCCTCGGCCTCGGATGGAGTTGGCCCTGTGGGCTGGGCTGGAGCCTGCCTGTGGGTCCCGGCCCCGTTGCATACCCGTGGAGGTTTTGATGGGCTCTGGAGCATCCCGGTGTCGTCAGGCAGGAATCCTGCGGTGGCAGGGGAAGGAGAGCAGGGTCACCTCACAGCTCTCCACGCCCGAGCCTGGGAAAGTAGGGCGTCCGCTCGTGTTCCGTGCATGCCCGTAAAGAGGTCGAGTGGAGAGAGTGGCCTCGGTGCTTGTTTCCCAGAGCACAGAAATAACTCCGGGTAGCCCAGTTTCAGCTGAAGTTGTTTATTACTCATCCTCCTCAATGAACTGTTGAAAGGGAGGATGGTGCTTGTGTGCTCGGGCTCTGGTGTAGTCACTGCTTTTGAGGCTTCTCTGAGTGTCCTCAGCACCGGTAATGAGCCGGGGAGAGCCACTCGTGAGGATGGTGTTAAAAGGATTTGCCGTGCAGCAGGTAACGTGCTCTTGTCCCGTTTTTTCTCCAGGCTGGGGAGAGCGTAGCGATCAGCTTTTATTTGGGATGGGGCTAAGAAGTTCAGACAGTGTGTGAGGGCTCCATTTCACCCCGAGCCTTCCGTGACTCCTCTGCAGGAATATAGAAGGCGAACACTTACTTGCAGGATGCAAATAAAGGTTAAGCTGGATATAGACTGATTTCCCATTTAGGCTGCTTACACAGTCTGTGAGATGCACAGCTCTATTATCTACCGAGAGTGATTTGGTTTGGAACAGTGTGAAGAACATCAGATAAATCCTGATCCAGTAAATGTGTTTAGACTTGACAAGAAAACAAACGATGAGTCAGGAAGGAAAGTTCATTCTTGGCATGGTGAGCACATGAGGCAGTAAAGATAAAAAGAGCTGAATCCTGGAGCTCTAAGGGCTGCTGCTTGAACAAGCGGAAAGGTGGGACTAAGATACCGGTTAGACTGGCAGTAAGTAACTTCTGGTTTTTCTGCAAGCGCCTCTAAATCCTTTCAGGGGGATTCCCTCCTGGGCGGCCCTGAGAGCAGCCCAGGGACAGGGTGACGGCGCTGGCCCAGTGGCAGAGCCTGCGGGGCAGCAGCTCCCCGAGCGGTCGGTCCCCCAGCCCCAGGGCTGTCACCTGCAGGCAGTGAACCCAGTTAGTGTCAGTGGGTGGCACCAAACATAACTTGTCCCCAAAGAGCACCGTAAAGAGAGCCCTGGTTGTGGAGGGGCTGCGGGTCCGCCAACTGCAGGAGGATCAAACCACGCTTTGAAGGTGTTCTGGGAGAAAAACTGCTTGGCGGAGCAAACGGCCGAGCAATAGGTGTGCAACATTTACAAAATGCCAACCAAACCACCCGTATGTCATTACTTTTTAATGCTGTGTACTGACTGCCTCTGCTGTGCTGCACGGTGCAGAGTGATCTTTCGAGGTCCCTTCCAACCCCGAGCATTCTGTGATTCTCCTCGGAGATGTGGGTCCCAAAGCCTGACAGGCTGCAGGTGGGGAGGGTGGGCAGAGAAGGGTGTTTCGGGCAGCCAGCTCCCACACCAAGCCCGTGTACCTGCAGTGAGCAGCAGAGGAAGAGCTGTGCTGTGTTCCCACAAGATCCCAGCCTCTGAGATAAATCTACTGCAGGGGGGCCAGTTGGGAAACCAGCGCTGACACGGTCCGGTTCTCTCCTCTCCCCCAGTGACGCTGGTGATACTGAGCAAGCGCGAGTCCGTTTCTTGTTGTAAACCTGTTCTGGTCGAACCCACCACCCATGTGCTGTTCCCTCTGATGTTTGCAGGCAAACAGAAATACCTCTGTGCCAGCCGGAACGACTGCACCATCGACAAGTTCAGGAGGAAAAACTGCCCGTCGTGCCGCCTGCGCAAGTGCTACGAGGCCGGGATGACCCTCGGAGGTACTGGCTGGGGGGGGGATGCCCCTCGGAGGTACTGGCTGGGGAATGTCCCCGGGGCCTCGCCATGGGCTCACCGGGCAGATAACGGGGGTACTTGGCTTATTAATAGTCAGTAAGTGGCTGGAAAGATGAGGCTGATGGAGCATAATGAGCTTTGGGAGACATTGGCGGGTTTCTAATAGCAAAACTCCGAATTTCGTTAAACTTTTGGTTGAGTTTCAGGAAGCATTCTTTTCCTTAATATAAAGCCTTGTTAATCAGAAAAAATGTAAACAGCTGGGCTAGCTGGATTCTCACTCCCACCGAAGCCTCTTTGAACAGAGCACTCCTGTTTTAAGATGATTATTCCCAGGAAGGGGCATTTTTCTTTATAAAATTACAGCCCCAGTCTTTTGTTTCACTGAAGGGAAGTTGCTCCTGTATCGCTGATAAAGATCCCTGGTACGGTTTGTATGTGTTCCAAAACCTGTAGCTCTATCAGAGCAGGATGCCTGTGCCCAAAATCTGAGCTTTTCTGCTCAAAATCTAGAGGTTATAGTGTAGATCACTGGGTGCCTCATCCGTGAGTCCATTTGATGTGAGCGAGAAAGAAGGCGCTTCCACTTCGAATGCTCCCAGCACTGCTGGGCTGGGCAGTGCCTCCCGGAGCTCCTGGTGGCCACGGGTGGCCCTTGGTAGCCATGGCTTTTGTGTGGGGCCGGGGGCTGCTGCCCTGCCCATGGGACTGTGCGGCTCCCGAGCTGTGAGGAGCCAGAGCAGCTCCCCGGCGCGCAGCCAGCCGGAGGGCTTCCTCGTGCCGTCCGGCACCAGCGTGCTCTGACTTTCCAGGGCTTTTTTTTCTGCTGAAATTTCCTTAAGTAAGAGAAGGCATACATCAGTGTAACCTTCTTCTGCAGGACACACTGACAGAACTAATGCTAATCCTGATAGCCCCCACCTCCTCTTTTTTTTTTTTCCCTTCTTAAGCTCTTTAGGTCACCCTGACCTGTTCTGCCTGGTCTGTTTTACATTTGTTTTGAATGTCGGTTTAAAGGCAATTGTTAAAAACACGCATGCTATGAGTTTGTCCACAGTTATTTCTCCCACAGCAGAGAGGCAGAGCGTTTGGAAGCACTTCTAGCTCTGGACAGTTGTTTTTAACTGCCAGTTAATTACCAGTCACGTGTAGCTCAGGGTGTTCGGTGGGCGGAGGAGGCGACACGCCGGACACCTTATTTAGGGCTTTCCGCTTCGGCACAGAGCGGCGATATGCCGGAGCACCTCGTTACTGATGGAGATCAGTCTGACCTGCAAGCTGAAACCCATTAAGCAGAATCTTCTCTCCCAGTCGACACTGTGAAGCCCAAGAGAAGGAAAAGAGAAGGGGGGGAAAAAATGTGTCAACGCTGGTTTCCTTCCCTCTCCTGCCTCTCCCGCCACAGCCGTTCCTCCTGCCCGAGTGCTGAGCTGTCGTGGGGCAAAGCCTCCCAAACGTGTAAAGCCCAGTTCATGCCGGAGGGCAGGGCCACAGGACAGCGGGCAGCCCGAGGCGGGAGACGTTACCTGTATTTAGTCCTAATTCAGGGCCTGTTGCTGCGGTTAAAATAGAGCTCGTGTCTTGTAAAAGCATTTGACACGGATGCAGCGTTTCCATCAGTGCAGACTCTAACACATTTTTTGCTGCACGGTTGCAGTAGTTCATTATGTTCAGTGCTGTACCTCATTTTTCGTCTTGTCTGGCCTTGATTTCCAGCACCTGGATCTCTGTTGTGGCTCTGCTTGCTAGATTGTAAAAAACACTTTTATTGAATTTCTGTCCCTGCTGTGGGCATTTCTTGGCATTGACTTAATAACCCTTGAGCCTTCTTCTGCTTAGCTACCATTGTAAAATTACTTGCTGCTTTGCCTCAAGGTCTGTTTAGTCTTAACTATTCTTACGGCTTTTTCAGAAGAAGTGGTTAATTCTATTTTTGGACATTCACTAGCAAAGGGCCGTGAACAACCCTCCTAAGAAACAAGCCTGTCTGATTTTTTTTCAGCATTTATAACTATTTTGGGATGTATTACCTGGATGATTTAAAATCATTTAGCGGTAATGTCTGATTTTATGCAAGTTTTTTTTAATTCACGTGGGCCAGAGTGACTCAGATCTCTTAACCGTGTCTACAGTACCAGCAGTGTTGTAATTCCCAGCTACAATTACCGTGTCAGGCAAGACTGATAGCTCGACGGGATCTGGTTTTGACAAGCCACATGTAGATGGTAGTAAAAAATTGAAAGAGCAGGAGGTAAGTCCTGTTTCAGCTTCTCTGTCATTTTGCCTGTGGCTGGATCAGCATGCGGTGCCCAGGGCTGGCAGGATTTCTCTCTTGTTGCCAGTGCAAAACCAGTTTTCTTCCCAGTCCCCAGGACCCCCGAGTCCCAGCGCTCGAGCAAGGTCTGAGCGGGAGCCAGGGCTCCGGTGCTGCCGGGCTGGGTGCCGTAAAACACGTGCCCTTCTGTCATCGCTCCATGCCAGCTCCCCTGGGCTCCTTGCACCACTGAATTATTTCATAAGTATTTTATAATTACGTCCTCTGAGCTTTTTCTGAAGCACGTGCGGTGTCGTCTCGGCTGAGCCCCAGGCGAGCTGCGGAGGTGCCCAGGCTCTGTCCCTGCCCCCCGAGCCACCCCTGCTCGGTGACCCGTGCTGTGCCTCGTCCCGCTGCGCTTCGGAGAAGTGCAGGGCGGGCTTCTGCCTCGTCCAGGAATAAAAGTGTAGCAGATGTCTTAAACTTCTGGTTTTTAATTTCGGGTTTGCTTCCCAGTAGCTGCTGAGTAGGAGCTACCGCCAAAAGGGGGTTTGCACAGGTGACTGAATGCCAGGGGCTCTCTGCCCCGGAGCCCTGCTCGGTCTGGTGACACCGGTGTCTGGGTGGGACGGGGCTGCGCTGGCAGGAGCAGTTACCATCCACCTTCACTGCTCCCGGCCTGGGGGGGTCGGTTTGCAGCTGCGGTCTGAGACCCGGCATGGTTGGCTGGTTGCTTTCTTCTTTCTTCACTCTGTACCAGTTAATAGTAGATAATTCAATTTTAAGACAAACAAACACGACAAAACATTTAAACCAAACCATGTGTGCGTTTTACACAGTGTGGGTTTGGCTCCAGTCATGCACAGGACACGATGGGCACTGATTATTCATCTTTGGAGGATACAGTGGGATTCCTGTTTCTCCTTTTAAGCCAAGAAGCTTTTCTCTCCCAGCAGCCCTCCCATCCTCAAGGGTCTGGCCTGGGCATGACCACGATTCAGGGTTTGTGTCTCTGGGGGAGCTGGCCCCAGGGCTTCCGTCCCGGGCGGGTGGTGGCCAAAGGATGCCACGATGGCACGCCGCACTGCAGCCCTGCTTTCCTCTTGCACTCTTTTACTTTTATTACTCTTCTCCTTTTTTTCCTTTTTTTTTTTTACAGAGCAGCCTGTCTTAATTGCTCGTACCGTAGATCATCCAAAGTACATTACTTAAAGATCAACGTTTTGAATTGATTTACAACACTGCGCTTTAACTTGACATTTTTATGTTTCGCTGCTTGTTTTTCTAATTATAGCTGAAAGGAAATTTGAGATAAGTATCATGTAATGAAAGAGCCAAAACCCCAAGGACAATTGGTTTGATGTTGTATTCTCTGCTTGAATTAAACGATTGGCTTTTTTCTCTCATTAATTAGGGTTTTTGGAGTCAGCAAAGGGTGAAAGTTGTTCCTATGTGCAGCAGCCTGCCAGCCCGTGCTGCGCTGAGCACCGTCATGCAGATAGCAAATTAGGTGAACGCTGGCTCTCAGAAGAATTCTGAAGTCACGCGTCTGAGGCTCCGGGTGCACGCTGCTGGCAAATTAGCGTCGGTAATTAGGTGCACAGGGAGACACTTTGTGGTGGTGAGGTGGGCACAGCCGAGGGCTGCTGGCGGTCCCAGCCCTGCTGGCCTGCTCTGCTGGCGTTGCTCTTGAAGCCGGCGGGCAGAGCAGGGCCACCCCTGCGCGAGCCTTGTCCTTGCCAGCAGGCTAGCTGGGGAGCCTCCAGGGAAACAGCTGTGGAACCACCTGCTGGCTTTGGAAATGTGTTTTCCATAAAGTATTTGTAGAGCAGTGACCCATCTCGGTTATGGAGCAGCAGAGGCTGCAGGAGCCCCAGGCTGGGAGAAGACATTTCTCACGGTTGCAGCCCGCTTCCACTCTGGGATGGGATGGAGCAATCCCATGTAGCATCTGAGTGCGATGGCTTTTGTCCCTGGAACACGACCATCTACTGAGTTAATTTGCTTGCGTTGCTTCCCTTTTGAATTGCTCATGAGCAGCTGTTTGAATTGAGCCGTCTCTTCCCCGGTTCTTCCTCTCTGTTTCTAAGGGGGTGTTAATGTGACACCGGTCACGGTTGAGGTGATGATGCTTGTTCTTTTTCATGTCAGATTAATGAGCAAATGGATTTCCTTGTGCAACATGTGCTCCCTTTTGTCCTTTGGTGAGGTCAGCGATGCTGGGGCACAGCTTGGCCAGCGTGCACCGGGGGAGTAGCTGCTGCTGGCCCCTGGCTTCGCTTTCCTTATAAATATAAATGATGAAACTGGAGGCCAAGGAACCTCAAGCTTTTTTTAAATTGTTAAGTCCCGCCCTAAAATGTGCCATTTCCACAGCCCGCAAGCTGAAAAAGCTGGGAAACCTGAAGACACAAGATGATGTGGACGCAGCCAGCTCGTCCAGCCCCACGGAGGAGCAGCCTCCCAGGATGGTGATGACACGCATCGATGGGTACGAGTGCCAGCCCATCTTCCTCAACGTCCTGGAGGCCATCGAGCCCGGCGTGGTGTGTGCTGGCCATGACAACAGCCAGCCCGACTCCTTCTCCAACCTGCTCACCAGCCTCAACGAGCTTGGGGAGAGGCAGCTGGTCTACGTGGTCAAATGGGCAAAGGCCTTGCCAGGTGAGGAGGAGAAGGAACAGCTCCTGTCCCTTCCCTGGCATGTTCCTACAGCAGGAAGGCAAAATGAGTTAGCCACTATATCCCCAAACCTGGTGGTGAGCTGCAGTCAGGCGTGTGATGTTCCCAGAAATGCAGCAGTCTCCTGGGAGTAGCTTGGCCATCGGCCCGGGAGGGGTGTTAGTCCGAAATGCGGAGAAGCACACTGGCCTGTTCCGTTTCTTACATTCTTGAGTCAGAAAAGGTTCACCTGGCTCGTGAAACCAGGAGCAGGTCTTGCTGTTTCTCTTCTGGCTTGTCTCCACCAGGCAGCACCACCGAAGCGGACTGGTGACCTGGGGGCTGAGGCTGCAGCACTGCAGTGGTGCTAATGGCAAGGGAGAGTGCTTTGATAAACATTTTCCATCGTAATCGTTCCCTTATCAGAGGCTTTTACTCTCCCACCCTGCGGGGCGTGGCAGTGCGGCCAGGGCATCCCTCATGGAGCCCGGCTGTCCTGGGGGGGACACCGCCAGCCGAGGGACTGGTCCTGCCATCGCTGTGCCTGGAGCGAGAGGCAAAGCCTGTTTGCTTCCTCCAGCGGTTCCCTGGCGTGCGCCAGCGCCGCAGTCCTGCAGTAATGACCACAAATTCGCCACTTAGTCATTCTCCTGCTGTTTTCCAGGCAAGGAGCAAACAGCCACAGCGCTGTTCTCATCCTAGTTGCCGCCTCGCTTGTTGGGTAAACTTGCCAAATCCTACGCCATAGCCAGAGGTAGTTTGCTCCCTATAATTTAACTGTATCATATTTGGTGCAGGCTGGCAACGCAGCCTGGGCGGCTCAGCAGAGGGCTGCTGCAGACGAAGGCATCAGGGGCAGAAGTCACGGAAACTAGTCCCGAGCAATTTAAACCAGCGGGACGCGGTTGTGCTGATCGAAACAGAAGGATCTCCGTGCGCTGTGCTGGAAGGCCGGGGGCTGTTTACTGAAGGTCACAGCCTCAGCTCTCTCTGGAAGTGCTGCCTGGCCCCAGCAGGGTCGCAGCGAGGGAGGAGGTTACCCCCTTTGTCCTTTCTTTCCCCGTTTATGAGGCGCGTCTGGCGCTGACATCGGCTCACCTGGGCGCGAGCAGCCCCGCGTGCCTGCCGGCGTGTGTCTCGCTGGGAAGGGGAAAAGCTTTTTCTCTGTGGGAAGGGCAGGAACCCGCACCTGTAACAGAGGCAGCCTCAGCCCGCTGACACCAGCCACAGATTCGTGGCGGGTAACGGG